GGAACAGAGACATCACCTTTGATAGGCAACTGGATCCTTAGATATCAGAGATGGCAATGGGAGAGCAAGGAATAGTGTTCATGTGCTTTGTAGCCTGGGTCTTTGTTTTTGAAGTAGGCCTGGCTTTTTTGATCTCAGTTTTATCAGAGATTCCCTTGGATAGGCCTGGCCAATACTTCCTACAAGGACAAGTGTAATCATCTGAATCCCTTCTCATTTTTCTTGTTTCTTATCATTTTCCTTCACTCTAAAAAATCAATGTCTCACAGCTGAGTCTGTGGGGTTTGGGATTCCATCTGTACCTGCTGAAGTTCTGTAGATGTTGAGGGCTGTCCAGCTGATGAAATGGTGGCCACAAAATGTTTTCCTTTGGGAGGTGAGGGATCCATGTTGGTAAATCTGAAAGCTTCAGCCTGTTGAAAAATAAGGTGGGATTTTCTTTCCTCCTTTTAGTATCTCTCTGATCTTGTCATGAACATGTTTAATGCAAGTTTCATTCCTGTGATGAGCCTGTCGTTATTACGTCTTATATCCCTTCTGGTGTGTGGGTCTCAGGAAGTGGGTTTTTGGTCTAGAAGAACTTAACACCGCCCTGGCAAATAGCCATTAACTATTTTAAGATTTATTTATGTATGTGGGAGATTTGCCTGCATGTACACTACATTTGCATACTAGAAGAGGGCATTGGATCCCGTGGAACTATAATTATAGATGGTTGTGAGCCACAATGTGGATGTTGGGAATTGAACTCAGGACCTCTGGAAGAGCAGCCAGTGCTCTTAACCACTGAGCCATCTCTCTGTCCCCCTAGCCAGTAAGCTTTTAAGCAAATAGTTTATCTGTTATTTATTCTGCTCAGAATTAAACAGAACCCCTCTGTTTCCTCCCAGGGGTTATAGCAAGTAGAACCCAGTGCAAATGCTAGCGTGTAAAATCATAAGCCAAAGTTAAGGTCTGAAAGCCACATGTAAGTTAAGATGTATTTTCAGCAAAGCTCTTTTCCTTCTTTCTTCCTTGCATTGTTGAATGGCCATGATTGAATAAGGGACATGAACTCTTTCTGTGTACTTCTGCTAAAGTGGAGCATTGAGGGAATAGTGGTGGACATATGACAGAAGTTCCATTTATTGTATATCCCATAGGTCTGAGTACCCTTTTTTTCTGGTAACTTGGGTAAGTAGAAAAGTAAGGAGAGGGGTGGAACTCTGTAGAGTCAGGGAAGGTATATCTGAGACCCACTGTTCAGTATTTTCCATTTGGGAAGGAGGATTTGGAAACAAATGGGGCTCATCGAAGATATCAGATATGTCCTCTTCTGGTTTTTCAGTTCCTTATCCCAGAAGAGGGTCATGAAGACTTGAATATAAGGCACTTCAGACTATTTTCCTTGATTAAAAACACACACAAAATAGGTAGAGCTACAGGATGGTGTGGTAATTTAAACTTCCCCATCACCTGGCTCATATTTAGGCCATTTGGGTCTTATTCTATAGAGTCTCAGGATCCGTTCCCTTTATTTTTTTTTCTATCAATATAAGCATTTTACCTCCATGTTTGTCTGTGCACCATGTGTGTGCCTAGTACCCATGAAGGTCAGAAGAGGGTGACAGGTCCCCTGGAACTGGAGTTACAGATGGTTGTTAGCTATCATGTGAATGCTGGGAATTGAGCCTGAATCCTCTGCAAAAGCAGCTAGTGTTCTTAACTGCTGAGCCACCTTGTCAGCCACAAGGTCCCTTTTTTGAGGATGTGTGACAGTAAGTGGTCCAAGTGTTTTTATGACATTTATAAGGAGAAAGAAATAAGAGACGGCCTTTAGGATGAAGGGTGCAACCCTCTCACCCATTTGCAGAGTTCTCAAGTTGATCTGCAGCATTGTAGCCAGTAGGCTGCCCATCCTCTAGTGAGCCTTCATATGGCCACAAGACATACAAATACAAACTCTGATTTGATCACCTCACTCACTGTTGTTTGAACCCATTGTTTGCCTTTTCTCTCTTCCAGAACTGTCAGGTAATATTATGATGGACACTCTTGTTTTGAGTGTCTATGATGTTATTTATTCACTCAGCCTCTTTTCTAAGCAGCACAGGGTGGAGGCTGAAAATCAAGATGATGTGAACTTTTGCCCTGTCTACTTTATGGAAGGATTCTGTCTTTTCTGAGCATGCCTTAAAGAGTGTCTATGCTGGCTGGGCATGGTGGCACATACCTATAATCCCAGTACTTGCAGAGGCAGGGGCCAATGGATCTCTGTGAGTTTAAGGCCAGCCTGGTCTACAAAGGGACAAAGCGAGTATAGGACCCACAGCTAAACAGAAAAACCGTGTCTTGGGGAAAAAAAAAAAAGTGTTCATGCTGTTAAGCCAAAATCATTTTCCAACCCTCTACTATACCCTAACACAAAGATGTGTGTCTAGTGCCTTGTTCTACAGTGTGTATTTCACTGCAGATTAGAAACAAAGGTGATGCTAATGTGTTTAAACCTTCTTTGTAAACTTGAAAAAGATTCTTGTAAGCTACAGGAAATCCACCTGAATCCACTTCTCAGGTCAAATGGACTCCAGATCAGTATTGCCAAACAACAACCTTAGTTTCCCATGTATTTCTTATTTCAGAGGGTGGAATCCCCTTCCCTAGTTTTGGGATTCTTCTTTCCCAGTTACTAAAGCCATGGGTCCAAAAGTTTCTGCCCATATATATGTTCCAATATCCTTTCAAGTCCAGGTGTTTCCTACATCCAAGACAGCACCAAAGCAGCTACCCATAGATTCTCCAGTCTAACCTTGCAGACTGGGTTACCTGGACCTACATTTTCCTTCCTAGCCACAGATGTTCTTACATCCGGGAAAGCAGTAAAACAGGCAGCTCTCACAGGACTTTGCCAGCAGCACCCCACACCCTCCTTCTCTTAGGGTCACCAAAGATGTCATTGCCCTCAAGTCAGCAGGAAGCAACCTTTCTGAATATCCTCATTCCTACCTCCCCGCCCCTTCCTAAGTTTGCCATTTTTTTTTTATCTTTTTTAAGATTAATTTATTATTTGTACAGTGTTCTGCCTGCATGTGTGCCTGCAGGGCAGAAGAGGACACCAGATCTTATTATAGATGGTTGTGGGCCACCATGTGGTTGCTGGGAATTGAACTCAGGACCTTTGGAAGAACAGCCAGTGCTCTTAACCTCTGAGCCACCTCACCAGCACCTTGCCATTGTTTTTTAATTAAACAAAAACAATGTTAGTGTACAGGTGGAACCACTGGCTGCCCTTCAGGGTCCTAGCAAGCTCTGAAGTCATCTGCTGCCACTGCCACACCAGGTGGGCTGCCAGGTGTGTGCCTGATAAAAGAACCCCACCTAGCTTCTTATTCTCTCTGTATGTGTCTCTCTCTGTCTCTCAGTATCTCTTTTCTCTCTGTCATGGGCGCCTCCCTTCCCACCATAAACCTCCTTTATACCAGATCTGTTGTGGTGGCATTAATCATTATTATAACACTCAAAAGGGTGTGCCCTCTTAGAACAGTCAGAGCACCCTCATATGTGAGTGTGAATGGGGAGATGAGATAGGAACAGCAGGCAACTGCTGTGAAAGCCTAGTGAGGGAGGAGTGTCAACTGTGCTAACGGACACAGGTTTGTTCTGAAGTGGGAAATGGAGCAAAAGTACAGTGTGGGAAGAATAGACGCAAGGATGATGGTGTGGGAGAGTGGACAAAACTTAGATAGGTCAACTTTGGCTTAACCCTAGGAAATGCTGCTTTTCGTCTGCTTGAAACATCTATCCTATGTCATAGCTGCACTCCTCTCTTCCTTCTTACCTATATCAAGGCAAATCCTTCCAAGCCTTTTTTGATATTCACCTCAGCTCATCCACACAAAAGCTTGTCAGTAGTCTTCATGCTTTACTTCCCCAGGGATTCCCAAATGTCTGTGAGCTGAAAAATGCCCAAGGATCCCTCCAGCCTAGAATCTGTATTGTAATTGTTAATGCAGAGTCCGTCCCTCATCCAGGCTTCAAACTCAAAATCTGCTCCAGCCTCCTGTGTGCTAGGATTGCAGGTATGTGCCACCGCACTCAGCTCCAAGCCTAGACTCTTGACTACACAGGCCCTTCTGTACAAATGATCTCTTCTAGTGCCCTTTATATGCCGTACAATAACCTCATACTTCACATCTCCTTGACCGTATGCATTTGGAGTCACTCAAATAGCTTCTTCATCAGTAGTAACTTGTCAGGAACAAGTACACACTCTTGTTCTATAGGGTTAAATTCTGGTGGAACTTCTGCCAAAATCTTTATATAACTTTCAAAATACTTTGAGCTGGATTTGCTCCTTTCTAAGACTTACAACAATGCATTGTAGGTGCCATTGCATGTCCCATTGGAGAATCACAGTTACAACCTCTGTTCAGTGAGAATAATGGCTGGATGAAATGGGATCAGAAGCATATGCAAGGGATTGGCACTATGAAAAGTACAAGATAGTACAATATTCTCTGAGATGTACTGAAGAAGGTGAGAAGAGAGGTGGTCTGTAGATGTTCATGGCTTCCATAGACAGTGAAAGGGGTGAGGGAAAATCTTCATGAAAAGTTAGAGGTGAGATGCCTTCTTGAGAATGAGGGAGACGAAGTTCTATTTGAAGTTCGGCTGAGTAATGAAGCCACCGAGGCTGTTGGAAGATCAGGCAAAGGGGAGACCAAGACTCTTGTATGAGGGTTGAGCTGGTATGGTCTTTGTAGATTAAATGGCTAACCTGCTCTTGAAATCTGTCCAGTTTGTTGTATTTCCTATTCATCGCAGACAAGGGATTCTTTAGGTCTACAATACTACTTTTACCTGTAAACTATGAAGTCATTCTATTTGCTGTGATTAAAAAAAAAAAAAAAAACCCTGGGATCTAAAGACAGAATACTCATGTGGGAAGTGAAAGATATATTGCAAACATCCTTACATGATCCATGCTCCCCAGTAATTCTGCATGAAATACGACAAGATTGAGAGAAAACTCTTAGGTTTTATTCTTCCGAGTGAAAATAACCACATTTCTTTCAATAAAAATTCTAATAGGCCTATTTGAGGGTCTGTGACCATGACAAGCTACACACTTCAAAGTTCATTCTTCATGGTGGTAGATTTTGATAATATCTTTGCTCTTTGACTGAAGAATCATTGAAGCATTGCTTAGCAACACTTAGCAAACACTTGAGAGTGACCCACCAAGCACATGGTGTATTCTATCAGCCACAACAGATGTGCGTGCGCGCGCGCGCACACACACACACACACACACACACACACACACACACACACACGGTGGGCTACCATTTTTACAAGGAATAGTCACATCTTCATGAAATCTGACCCAATCCTGGCATGGTCCTAAGTGAAGTATTCAAACTGAAGGAAGAGATAGTGGAGAAAGACTTGAATGCCTTTTCTTTGGAGGGTAATACGGTACTGAAGTCATGCAAAACAGTGTTTCCATTTGCTCTCTGTGTGTCTATGCTGCAGAACAGAGGCTAGTACATGCCCTGCCCTTTAGAACATGCTATTGTTACTGTAAATGTGAGTGTGCTATCTTTCTAAGGCAGTCATACACCTTTTCTCTGACAGTTTCTACTGTGAATCTACAGCTCTCTGTGGAGGAAGAATCTGTTATTACAACAGTCCAAGAATGACTCTAGCACAAGACATCCTATCTCTAAATTCCCTGTGCTAGATGTAGTCCATGAGTTATGTTCTTGTTTTGTTAATAATAAATAGATTTGAAGCCACCTATGCTTCTACTGCTTTCTCAGCTAAGGACTTCAGCAAATCCTTATAGACTGCGGAGTTCATAAACCGGGGGTAGGAGTCTCTGTGCATTAGGGTGTAAATCTGCAGCTGAGCGTCATCGAATATGTGTTGGGATGGATCCACCATGTTTCTGTTGATGACCTCTCGCACTCGGGAGTCCAAGCTGACCTGTGGAGAGATGGATGGAGCAGCTGTCACTTATGTTTGTAAATCCGCCCAAACTCCCAGAACTGTTCTATCTTTCAAAAGAGCCCAGACCAAAAGTCTCAACTGCTGAGAGAGACTAATAGGTGAATGAACAGGAACTCTGGAACTTCATCTGAGGGGTTGGCATTGTATTTCTCACAGGTTGTGAGGAGTGCTGGCTCTTTATAAAACAGCACACTGCCCTGCTTTTTAAAAAATGATTGTAGGATGGTCTTTGAAGATAGACACAGACATCTCTGCTAATGAAGGTGAAAACATGGGTGCTGTAGGCTCTTGCCCTGCTAGAAACTGGGTGTAGGGTTCTGATGCCAGTCCAGGTCAACAAGAAGGTTTCTATAAAGTGAAGTGCTCAAATCACAGGGCCTGAGAGTCAGTGCCATCCCAGGGGTCATGGCTGTATCTACAGTAAGTGTGCATTCCTATTAATGAACTTTTATTGTTGAAAATGAAACGATGGTTATTTTTAGGCTTGTTTGTTTATAAGCATTTCTATCAGAAATAAAGTGCTTGAAAACTAGCAAGCTCTTTCAATGGAACCATCCATTCTCCCAATTTAGTGCCTTATGTATGTCTCATTTTCTTTCTCTTTCTAGCTACCCACTCTTCCTTCTCCCTCTATTTCTCTCTTTCCCACTCCTCTCTCCCCTTCTTTCTGAACAGTTTCACTATATAACCTTGAACGCAGTGTCCCATGTGCTCAGACTGCAGGCATGCACCACCAACTGTCCTACTTCTTTAACACATTTTTCTACTTCCTTCCCCTCTGCCGTGTCCCGTGTTGCTGGAGGTGTGTCACAGCCTTCCAACTGGCCTTTTGGAGTCTTCCCACTACCTCTCCCAACACATCCTGTGATATAGGTTCTAGATTTCTAAAGTGCAAACTTCATCCACACACTTGACTGTGCCTGGTCCTGGTTTGTCGACTCTCTGAGGATGAAGGGAGAATGTACCAGTCCCTAAGTTATGCTTTTGGGCCCACGATCATTTGCTTCCTGTAATTTCCAGCTCCATTTCACTCTTCAACTCAAAAGGTGTCTGAACCACTTGGGATTTAAAGAAGGAAGGACCTAGGATTGGTCTTGTTTTGTTTCTTCTTTCTGGGACAGCCTGTTCCTCTGCTCTGCCTGATGAAGTCCGCTAGAAGATCCTCATCAGAAGCCGGGACACTGTCCAGTGGGGAGTCTGCCATAGGGCCAAACTGGCAGTTTTCACTGTAGAAACCTTAAAAATTGCTAGTTCTCCACAAGGCACACATAGAACCTCATTTGGTATAACTCTGCCATGAAGAATCTCCCTTTTCTAAGTCTGCTGCTACCCACCACAGCTCTGATGATTTGCTGGCTCCCTGCACTGTAGGAGCACCAGCTCCTGCCATGCTCACTGCTCATGTACCACACTTCCCCCTTGGCTTATCTAGTTCTAGCCCCAGGATGTTCTCATTTCCATGTGCTTCTGGTAACTTCCTTTTCATTATCCTTTGCCCATGCTCATCCTCTCTTCATGACTTACTATCCCACACTGAGTATCACACCGGGGACTCTCACGGGTCTTGCTGCCTCCTCCATGAGGTCCTTGACCTCAGAAGAGAAACTGCTTTATTAACCGTGAGTCTTAGCAGGAGACACAGCAGGAGAGAACAATGATTGTGAAATTGGTGATACAAGGTACCCAAATTAAAAAAAACAACCTAACTTACAGGACTGCAGGCAGATTTGAAGAAGCAAATGCTAAGGAGGTGGGAACCTGCTTACTCTCCCTTCTCATGCATCTTCTGTGATATTAAGAAGACGCCATGGGGAAAACCTTCAAAGTTCCAGTTCTCCATCAGCAATGCTGGAACTAGAAAGACACCTGAGGGAAAAAACTTTACTCAAAATAGTGGGATAATTTTATTTAAGCAAGTGTTTATAGGGCGCTGAACCCTGTAAAGTTACTCAGCATGAGGGCAGCCCTGGATTTATCCTTAGAAACACAACACTGAAGAGCAGAGCAAAGCAGAGGAAACCCAGTACCAGTGTGAGAGTGCCTGGACTCCGCTGTGAAAAATCTGGTGTGAATTATTGATGCCTTTTCTAGGAAAAAAAATAAAACCTGAAAAAAATTGCTTCCTACTTTTTCAGGCTCTGCTGGATCTGGATGCCATTGAGTGGGCAGGACTCATGACTAGGCTTTCGAATATCCCTACCAGTTCAAGCAGCACGTGACCAAACACAGCCCCAGGCAATTTAGCAGTGGCTCTAATGAGACATTTTTGCAGACACTCACCTCCTTAGGCGAGAGAATGGAAATGTAGTCTTCATATATTATCCTTGCTTTCTCCTCAATAGTGCTTTTATTAGCTTCCCTTTTCAGTTCTTCACAGGCCATCCAGAAAAGCATGTTTTCTTCACTGAATTCTGTTCGAAGGAATTCCCGGAATGCATTTCTGCCAGCTGGAGTGACCATTAGGTTGTCAAATGACTGGGCCCAGGCGCAGACTTCTTCCAGGGTGGGTGCGGGGCTGAGCCATGGTCAAAAGAAAGGGACAAGAGGAAGATGTTACTGGTGGGTGAACGCAGCTTTTCTTATATAGCTTTCAACCTCTGATATAAAATAAACAAATGTTTGGCCCCTTTAGGAAGGGGGAGCACCATTCTCCTTTCCTTAAGATTTGAGGGCCTCTGAAAGACTCTACCCAGCAGGATAACAAAGCAGATGCTGAGACCTATAGCCAAACTTTGGGCACAGTGCATGGAATCTTATGAAAGAAGGGGGAGATAGTAAGACCTGGAGAGGACAGAAGCTCCACAAGGAGAGCAACAAAACCAAAAAAATCTGGGCACAGGGTTCTTTTCTGAGACTGATAGTCCAACCAAGAACCATGCATAGAGATAACCTAGAACCCCTGCACAGATGTAGCCCATGGCAGCTCAGTATCCAAGTGGGATACTAGTAATGGGAACAGGGAGTGTTTCTGAAATGAATGCAGTGGCTGACTCTTTGATCACCTCCCCCTTAGCAGGAGTAGCCTTGCCAGGCCACAGAGGACAATGTAGCCAGTCCTGATGAGACCTGATAGGCTAGGGTCAGATGAATGGGGAGGAGGACCTCCTCTATCAATGTACTGGGGAAGGGGCATGGGAGGAGAGGACAGAGGGAGAGCAGAATTGGTAGGGAAGGAGGAAAGGGGCTACAGTTGGGATACAAAGTGAATAAACTGTAATTAATAAAAACTAATTAAAAAAAGATTTTGGCAGAAAAAAAACAAAACAAAACAAAACAGGATGGATGTCTGCAAATGGCTTTGTTGCAAATGGCTCTGCTGGGATTAAAGACACGTGCCACCACACCCAGTACATTGTAACTTTTTGACCAACCTTATGGCCATAGTTTCTGGGCACATCTAACAATACTTTTAAATTACAAAAAGGAAGAAAAATTGTGCAACCGTCTGACCCCAAACTTCTCTCAATTATCCCTGACAGAACTAAGTCACACTTCACACTGCCCCAACAGAACATGAATGGGCGATGTCCACAAAATATTCTTTAAGATACATGTAACATTTGAAAAAAAATAATATACATGATATAAATCCAAGTTATGAGGGTTGGCTACAGAATGATCAGCTAGGAATATGCCCTTGACCTGAAGAGCCAGAAGATCATTCACTAAGGGAGGGCACTCATCATGAGAGAGCGGCTGGACTTGACTTTGGCCTTAAAATCTTTGAGTTTATTTAAAGCCTAATTAACAGTGATCATTCCATATTTGACTGTTTCCCTGAAGAATATATTCTGTGGCTTTAAACAACGTTTGTAAAACGTCAAATCCATTGTCTTCCTACTTGCTTTTCCCACTTCATTTGGTCTTTGAGACTTAGCCATACTGCTCTGTGAATAGGACTGGAATCTCACTTTCTGTTTTTGCTGTTTTGCTGGTAATGGCAGCCTCTTAGATATCATAAAGATGAGGAGGTTTTGTGGATACAATGTTGATTCTGGATACAATGTTACTGGTTGAATTATGTCACCCAAAGGCAGTCCAAATGCCCCAAACCTCAGAATATAACCTTATTTAGAAATAGTTCCCTGGGCTGGAGATGGTTTAGGGGTTAAGAGCATTGGCTTCTCTCCCAGATAGATCTGGGTTTTATTTCCAGTACAGACATGGTGGCCTATAAGCATCCATAACTCCAAGGGGATCCAACACCTGCTCCGGCCTGCTGTGGTACAGATGTACATGCAGGCAAAACATCTACCTATACATCTAAAAACAAATCACTAAGAAAAAACAAATGGGTTTTCGCACACTTGACCATGGTCAATAGTTGAGTCTTAATCTGGAATGAAACTGAAAACCTTATTAACAGAGGAAATTTGGTACAGACATGAACATAGAGAGAAGCTCTGAAGACACATAGAGAATATGGCCATATGACAATATGGCCAGGGCTGGAGAGATGGCTCAGCAGTTAAGAGCACTGGCTGCTTTTCCGAAAGGACCCCAGGTTCAATTCAGTTCAGAAGACCTGAATTCAATTCCCAGCACCCACACGGCAGATCATATATGTCTGTAACTCCAGTTCCAGGGGATCTAACAGCCTCACACACATAAAAGCAGGCAGAATATCAATGTATATAAAACAAGAAAAAAAAATCGTTAAAAAAAGAATATGGCCATATGACCAGAGAAATATGTGTATAAGCCAATGGACACCAGAAGTGCAGGCAGCTGCCCACCACCAGAGGAAATGAGGGGAGTCTCCTCCAGGACCTCAAGAAGCAGCACAAAGAAATCCTGGCCCTGGTGACACTCCAGATCTTGGATTTCTGGTCTTGAAACTATGATATAAAATATTTTCTGGTGTTTTAAGCTACCCAGGTTTGGGTACTTTTTAATGGCGAATTAATTTAGAAAGTTATTAGTTGCTCATACAGTTTAACAGTTGGCCACTATTTTTTGTACGTCTAAATTTAGGACCCCTTTTTGTATGCCCACATTTCTGTGCTATATGTTAATAGCTCCCTCTGTGCATAAGTTGGACTTGGCTTGCTAATGATTAGTTTCTTTTAACTATTAAGATCTTGCCAGGTGAAGTGGTGCACACCTTTAATCTCAGCTGTTAGTGTACAGGCAGCCTGCTTCTTGGTTGCCTAGTAACCTATGAGGTCATCATGTGTCGCCCACCAGGTGTGTGGCAGGCTCAGTTCAGCTGTGCATGCACAGGCTACAAAAGGACCAACCCGCCACTTGGTCTCTCTCTTACTCTCTGCTCTTACCCTCCTCTCCTGCTATTTCCACCTCGCTTTCTTTCCTGGGGGCTCCAACCATGTCTCTCTCTTATTTTACCTCTCCATCTCTCCAGCTCCACCCAATAAATCTCTTTCATATAGCCTCGGCTGTGTGCGTGGCATCATTGTAAAATAAACACTAACACCGTCTCCTTCTCTCTGGTCTCCCTCTCCAAGCTGCTTAAGTTGGAGCTGTGAGTTGCAGCAGGTCAGGGTGGTGCAGGGTCAGGGACTGCAACCACACCCCCCTGCTCCTGCCAACAAGCTGCTCTGAATCGTGCCTCTGATCTAACCGCTTCCGAGGCATGTGCAGATCTTTGGTCTGTGAATTTGATCCCAAACTGTAGATGGAGTTTGATTCCTCCATGTGGCTCCAGCTCTTCGCCTGCCTGCCTATCACATGAACCGCATGCCTCCCCCTCCCCACTTCCCCTGGCTTCCCAGCTCCAGCCCGAACTAGTTAGTTGTGCTTCTTCATGGACCCAGGTTTTATTACAAAAACCGGGCCCCATTCAAAGGCCAGAAATTGGCACACCTGATCTCCAACTTCTCACTGCCACAGACAAATGATTCCCAAATATTTTATTTGTGAACTTGCTTTGCTCTGCTCTAGGCTCACAAAAACCCTTATCCTTAAGGCTCTACTTCCCAACTTAAAAAAAAAAAATCTTTTATCTCTGATTTCTTTGTATTCTGCTCTCAAAAGAAAATAAAAATCTTAAGGTTACATTGTAAAATCTTATCTGAGGATTTATATAATTTGCTCACTGGGTACATCTACAAATCTATATCATCTACAGCAAGAGTTGACTTCAAATTTATAACAAAAGGGTTCTGGCTCAATGGTGAAGCACTGGCTTAGCACTGTGAGCACCTAGACCAAAAGGCAGGCATTTTTATCACTTCGTGTTTTATTAATTGTATGTGATTTAGAACAAAGCCATGGAAGTGCTCTGTGACAAGTGCCTCACTTCCCTATGTGGTATTTATAACCACCCTTGACTGGCTTAGCTACAGCAAACTATTGTAGAGGTGACTTTCATTCACATTGTATTAAGGTGTGTCTCTGTACGTTCAAAATTGTTAATTGCTAAACTGGCAGTGAGCTTAATGCTCACAGATTCTAGTATTGCCACTGCTATTGAGGAATCTCCTGTCTCAATGTTGTGTAAAAATCACTCCTCAATTATCTCTATCTTGGTTAGTAAAGAAGCTGAAGAGTCTAGCTTTGAGGAGGACAATAGGCAGGATTTCTGTTCCCGGTCAGTGTGTGTGTGTGTGGAGATGTCCCAGATAGAGAGGGGGAGAGAGAGAGAGATAGGAAGAGAAGAAGAGGGGGAAGATCATCATGCAATGACGAAGGAGGTCACCATGGAGGGTTCGTCATGGGGACAAGGATGGAGCTGAGGTGCCAGGGTGAGACTGGCACATGGCTGGGAAGTAGGCCAGGCTAGCACGGTCAGGTTAGAATAGATTAGAATCTGACCAGTCATGGTGCCCTAGGCTTGTTAATAAATGTAACAAGTCCCTGTCTCATTATCTGGAAGCTAGAGCAAGCATAGAACAAGAACCTTAATTCCAACAAACTATTGTCATCCCTGCTTTACACACACACACACACACACACACACACACACACACACACACACACAGAGGCAGAATGTGGCCTTTACTAAGCCAAGGCTGAAGGTTGAGGTACAGCTTTCTGTGCCCTGTCCTAATTCTTGGGAGCTGTGGTACAGAATATAGTGTCCTGGGGTCTGTGAGACACCTGCTACTTCCAACAAACTGATACACAGTGGGAAGTGGGCCAGGGGGTATTGCTGTATCTCCCAGACTTGGAAAACCTGGGCAAATATATGTAGGGTATAGATGAAAGGAAATTTACATAACCTTGATGAGCTATTCTATCTGCAAAAATAAATACAAACCTATTTAATGCCAGGAGCGGTAGTGCATGCCTGTAATCCCAGCACTCGGGGAGGCAGAGGCAGGTGGCTCTCTGTAAATTTGAGGCCAGCCTGGTCTACAAAAGTGAGTCCAGGACAGCCAAGGCTACACAGAGAAACCCTGTCTCGAAAAACAAGACAAAACAAACAAAAATGTAAAAAAACAAAACCAAAAAAAACCCTATTTAACAATGCTATTAAGATATTTGTCTAATGTCTGCAGTGATAAAAGCATAATATTGAGAACAGGGATAAAGGTGCTGGAGAGCTGACTGAGCATTTAGGGGCACTGGCTGCTCTCGCAGAAAACTAGAGATTGATTCCAAGGACCCACATGGTGGCTTCACAACTTTCTGTAACTCCAGTCCAAGGACACAATACCCATTTCTGGGATCCACAAACACCAGGCGTGTACCTGGTGTACATACATATATGCAAGTAAAACACTCATATACATAAACTAAATACTTAAAAAAGACCAAGGTGAAGAATAGATGTAAAAATAGTTACAGGCAGGTAAATCAATAGGAGATTTGATAAGAGAAATAAAAAGAGTCAAGGGAAGAAATGTAAAAGGGAAAGCAATACAAAGCTGATGTGGTTGGTGCACACCAGAACTCAGTGCTCAGAAAAAGGAGGAGGAGGAGGAGGAGGAGGAGGAGGAAGGCTGTAAGATCCATCCAGCCTGGGCCTCCAAGCTCACTCCTGCATCAAATACCCCCAAAATTAAACATTGAAAATTGAAACAAAATTAAAAGCAAAACGTTACAATTATCATTTTTTTTTTCTTCAAAGTATTTAGATTTTCAGCAGCAGATTGGTGGTGGTTTCCACTGAAACCACTCTTCTGCAAGGAGGAGGGAGGCTCGCAACACCCGGGAATTAAATGAAACACCGCATCCAGAAAGCAGAAGTGTGGGATATCCACAAGGCACTGTCATGCTTGCTTGGCAGGAGACTCTTAGACCCCCAATGCCTGTGAGCTGAGCGAAGAGCTCCAGAAGCGCCACTTTTGTGAGCTGTCACATGCTGAGCGTGCCTTTGGCGAGGCATCTACCTTGGAGTCACCCGTGTAAAGGACCCTTTGCCTATTTTTTGAGTGACCCCAATACACTCACTGGTTCGTTAAGCTGTTTCTCTGATCTGTCATCAGTGCCCAGTCTGACGTGAGTAGACTTTAGTTCCAGGAAAAGTCACGCAATAATACTGCAACCATTTAGAATTAATTTGGAATTCTAATGGAATCCTAATTCCATTAGAATGGAAGTCTTCAATTTTCCTGAACGATGCATCGTTATGGTTTTTACTTTCATTATACAAAAATGAAATTATATCATTATGGGTTGTCAGGAGGGTTCAACTTCTACTTCTGAGTCAGCACTGGAACCGAAAGAGTGGGTTGACTTTTTCCCCGTTATGAAATGAATTAGAAGGAATTCTTCAGGAGACACTCAAAGCCGCATGGAGATCTGGTGTTACTAAATGGTGGTTATGGAAAAATGCCCACCTTCTGTTTAAACTTAAAGGGCAAAAAGCAAAAGGGAGACACTGGCATCTCCATCAGTACTGTGAGTGAGTAAAATTCAAGAGTTCACCTTTCTTCCCACGCCGGGATGTCTGATCTGAGTTCGTGGGAGGCTCTTTGGGGTCCCTGGTCTTCTTGGCCCCTGACAGTGAGGCTGTAAGAGAGAAGACAGTTATGTGTCAACTGACATGTCTGAAGGAACATAATTTCTAAAATAATTTTAAAGACAACTTCAGATACTCAAATAGAATTACTTAAAAAAAAAGACGTGACCCTGATTATTATTTTTAAGAAAATAATAGTAGCTGGAGAGATGGCTGAGTGGTTAAAACACTTTTGGTAGAGAACTCAGGATCAGTTTCCAGCACTCACATGGCAGTTTATTTATGTTCTGGGAGGTTAGATATCTTCTTTTGGTCTTTGGGGATACCAGTAACACACATCATACAATAACATATATGCAGGCAAAACACACACATAAAAATATTTTTTTTTTCCGAGACAGGGTTTCTCTGTGCAGCCTTGGCTGTCCTAGACTCACTCTGTAGACCAGGCTTGTCTCAGATTCACAGAGGACCACCAGCCTCTGCCTCCAGAGTACTGGGATTACAGCAGTGTGCCACTCTGCCTGGCTAAATAAATAAATCTTAAAAAAACAAAACAAGCCAGGTGTTATGACACATACCTTTATTTTTTATTTTATATTTTTAGATTTTATTTTATTTATGTATTTATTTATTACAATTTATTCACTTTGTATCCCCGATGCAGCCCCCTCCCTCATCTCCTCCCAGTCTCACCCACCCTTCCTCTTCTCCCCCTATGTCCTTTCCCTAGTCCCTGATAGGGGAGGACCTCCTCCCCTTTTATCTGACCGTAGCTTATCAGGTCTCATCAAGCCTGGCTGCATCATCTTCCTCTGTGGCCTGGCAAGACTGCACCCCACGGGGAGGTGATTAAGGGGTCAGCCACTGAGTTTATGTCAGAGACAGCCCCTGCCCTCCTTACTAGGGAACCTATTTGGAAACTGAGCAGCCAGTGGGCTTCCTTTGAACAGAGGGTCTAGGTCCTCTCCATGCATGGTCCTTAGTTGGAGTATCAGTCTCTGCAGACCACCCTGGGCCCAGGTTTTTTTGGCTCTATTGGTCTCCTTGTGGAGTTCCTGACCCCTCCAGGTCTTTCTATCTCTCTCTTCTTCCATAAGGATTCCTGCACTCTGCCCAAAGTTTGGTTATGAGTCTCAGTATCTCCTGGTGGGGTTACCCTGGGGGGGTAGAGTCTCTCAGAGGTCCTCTGTGGAAGGTTCCTGTCCTGTTCCTTGTCTACTTCTGATGTCTATCCTGTTCGCCCTTCTGAATGAGGATTAAGCATCTTCCCTAGAGTCCTCCTTGTTGTTTATCTTCTTTAGGTGTACAGGTTTTAGTATGTTTATCCTATATTATATGTCTAATATCCACTTATAAGTGAGTACATACCATGCATGTCTTTCTGCTTCTGGGATACCTCACTCAGGATGATCTTTTCTAGTTCCCACCATTTGCCTGCAAATTTCACGATTTCCTTGTTTTAATTGCTGAGTAGTATTTCATTGTGTAAATGTACCACAATTTCTATATCCATTCCTCCATTGATGGACATCTGGGTTATTTACAGATTCTGGCTATTATGAATAAAGTTGCTACAAACATGGTTGAGGAAATATCCTTGTTGAATGGTGGGGCATCTTTTGGGTATATGCCTAGGAATGGTATAGCTGGATCTTGAGGTAGTATTATTCCTAATTTTCGGAGGAAACGCCAGATTGATTTCCAAAGGAGATCAAATAGATACAAATCAGAAAGGAAGATGCATGCCCTTATAATCCCAGCATTTGGAAGGCAGAGCATTTGGGAGGCAGAGAGGCATGTCTATCTTTATGAGTTCCAGATCAGCCGGGGCTACATAGTGAGACTCTGTCTCAAAATTAAAACAAAGAGAAAGAAAATCAATTGTCTTTATTGAAGTGGGCATAAGGTGGGTGGTGAGATGGCTTACAGGGTGAAAGGTTCCCCTATCAAAATGCTCTACATTCACCATCGTGAAGCAGGTGATCCACAACTAACATCTGAGGAACTCCCAATCTGTTTTCCTGGGCAGCTTCACCAGTGCAAGCTCCTTCTGGAACGTCGGAGGGGGTCTCAAGTCTCGGATCCTTTCTCAACAGTTGTTAGCTCAGTGTGTATGAAATGTCACTGATTTTTGATTTGCATTTTGCTAATGGCTGATGGTGTTGAGCCTCTTCCTATGCATTAGCTGTCACACATTTTCTCTGAAGACCTGTGTTCTTCTGTTCCTTGATACTTAAATATCACTTTATTTTTTTACTTTTGAGATGTATGGCTTTATATATCTTAAAATTTTTATTTGTATGTGCCCGGGTGTTTTACCTGCATTTGTGTCTGTGCACCACATGCAAGCATGCTTGGTGTCTGCAGAGGGCAGAAGAGGGCATTGGATGGATCCCTTGGAACTGGTTCTGCAGGTGCTTGTGAGCCACTCTGTGAATGCTGGGCACTGAGCCCATGCTGGCTGCCAGAGCAGCCAGTGCTCGTAACTGTAGTGGCTTTATACATTTTAGATACAAGCACTAATGACAGTTATTTTCATGGACTCTATACTCTTCTTATTTACTCATCTGTTCTAATGGTTATTTTGGACCTTTTGCTTTGCATTTTTGTTTGTTTTTTATTTTTGATTTTTCAAGACAGGGTTTCTATGTGTAGCCCTGGCTGTCCTGGACTTGCTTTTTAGACCAGGCTGGCCTGGAACTCACAGAGATCTACCTGCCTCTGCCTCCTTGAGTGCTGGGGTTACAGGTGTGCGCCTCTGCACCAGCTTCTTTTTGTCTTTTGAGATGCTTTTGCATATCTACAAATAGGGAGGATTTTCTCTCTTCTAAGTTCTAGGTTTTGTCTATATGCTTCCTTTTGGCTGATGCCTGTAACACAACGTTAAGCAGTGGTAGAGTCTGTGATGTCCTTGGCATATTCTTGACTTTAGCAGAAAGTTTCAGCACCCCAACAGCTTAAAATAATGCTTTGTTTTGGTACAAAATGCCAAACCGAGTGCATCACGTGCTGACCATGTGTTTTATCACCGAACAGCCCCACCAACCTCTGAAAATGGATTTTTATCATTCATGATTGAGGCTTCTTGTTTTGCTATGGTATCATTTAGTGTTTCTATTCATTTTCATATGCTTTTCCTTAATACTTTATTTTATGAAAGTCTTTCAGCCTGCTTTTAGCAATCAGCTTTTTAAGTTTTTAGCATGCGTGCACACCCACGCTACTGTGTGTGTGTGTGTGTGTGTGTGTGTGTATGTGTGTGAAAGAGAAAGACAGAGACATAGAGAGAGATACAGACACAGAGAGGAGAGAGAAGAGAGACAGAGAGATCTATTTTCTTAAAAAGGCAAAACCATTAAAATGCAGGAATCCTTTTAACTTCTTTCTTTTATGATGCTAAGGCTAAAACATTTCAATAAATAATGTTTTTTAAAAATGAAACAAAACACTACAAAAAAATCTTTGAGAGACACTGGGGGGCATCCTGTCTGGGGAACATTTATCTTCCCAACTTCCTGGCTTCTTTGTAAACAGAACATGTGACTGCACAGTGGGTATAAAAAAGCAAAAGGAAAAAGGAATTATGAATTTGACACAGGCTACAAAGAGAATTGGAAGCCATATTGTGAACTGAATAATGCAAAATTTACTTGAGCTTTGATGTTTTTCCATTTTATTTTGCTAAAGCAGAAATAGTTTAAAGGAACAGTGTACTCTAGAGAAAAAAAGCACAGAAGATACTCTTCTGGTTCACTTTGTTTACCAGGGTCTACTGTGGCTGCTACACCAGAGGAGGCAGATAGACCCAGCCAAGGCAGGGCTGGCCATACTTTAGCAATGTTCTGTAAGACTCGGGGGCTTCCCTTTTCAGTGAGAAAGAAAGTGGACCTCCTCCAGCATTACAGAAAAAAAATAAGTTTATTGATTTTACATGTGAAATGCTATTTACAGGAGCAATTCAAGGTGGCTAAAAAGTTCATATTTTAGAGAATAAAAATCAGAGAGCTTCCTTTTATATTGGACTAGAGTTCTGAGAGAAATGTCATTAGGCTTAGGAAAACATCACTAGTTGCCTTTCTACTGTGTACACCTACACATACATATCTGAAAAGGATGCTAAGGGAGAAAAATGTTAAGGAAATTGAGTTGTTTTCCATCGATGTGAAAACAATACATATTTTGGAATAATTATGAGTCCATTAATTTTGGATAAAAAAGTTTTCTCAGCTGACACCAACTTTGTCGTGGACTCTCCGTACTTTCTACCACAGAGATAATTATCAAGCTTAATTTGCCCATCATCTCATCCACTCTTACGCTACTATGTACGCATATACATTTTAGACATTATGTAGTTATTATTTTACACTATCCGATGCTTTGTAATTGCTCCCCCCACCCCCACCCCCATAGCACATGAGTTGAAATGACAATGGCATGAAGCCACTGTGAGGCATGGATCCACCTAGTTCCTGTTTGTGGACTAGGGAGCTACTTTCCATTTTTTCTCATGGAGATGGATCCCATGGCAAAGTTTCACAGATGTACTCTTTCTGCATGGGCTTCACCGTTAACCTTAGGTGGATTTCTACATACACATTCAGAAGGGAGTGGAGTACCTATGCATGTTCTTATGAGCAGGTATGTGTGTGGCAGTACCCACACATGTGTGAGTGGGCATGTATGTGTGTGTGTGGTACCCATGCAGCTGTGTATGGGCACGCGGATGGCAGAGGACAAAATCAAGTGGCATTTCTCAGGAGCTGCCTACCTTGGGTTTTTGTTTGTTTGTTTTTGAAAAAAGGTCTCTCATTGGCTACAGCTAGGTTTGCTGGCCAGCGAGTCCCAAGGATCTGCCTGCCTCAGTCTCCAAGATGTTGGGACACAGGTCTGGAATTATAGCCACCATGCCAAATTTAGGATTTTGTTTTTCTTTTTCTTTTTTTTTTAAACATCTTTATAGAGCATATTTCTATCTATTTATTTTTATTTTATGTGCACTGGTGTTTTGCCGCATGCATGTCTGTGTGAGAGTGATGGATCACCTGGAACGAGAGTTACAGATATTTGTGAGCTCCCATAGAGATCCTGGGAATTAAACCTGGATCCTTTGGAAGAGCAGCTAGTCCCCTTAACCTCGGAGCCACCTCTCCAGCCCCAGGAAAATTTTTTCTTTATAGCCATTGTTTTTATTTTTAAAAAGTAACCCCTTTCACTATTGGAGCCAGAGGAAACAAGAACACCACAAGGACAGCCATAGAATCAACTAACGTGGGCCAATAGGGATTCATAGAGATTAAATCCACAATCAGGGAACCTGACCTAGGTCCTCTGCAAATACGTTACGGTTGTGCAGCTTGGTCTTCTTGTAGGATTCCTAACAGTGAGAGTGGGGACTGTCTCTGGCTCTTCCCCTGCTCGTGGGACCCTTTTCCTCCCACTGAGCTGCTTCATCCAGCCCTTAATAGGAAGGGAGGTACCTAGTCTTATAGCAACTTGATATGCCGTGTTTGGTTGACATTCCTGGGAGGCCTGCCCTTTTCTGAAAGGAAATGGACATGAGGGCAGGGAGGGGAAACTGTGGTTTTAATATCAACGTCATAAAGATGGTATATTATGTTTTCTTCTTGGCCTTTAAGCCACTTGGAATTTATCTTGGGTCTCACGTTATTTTGTTTTCAAGATGAGAACTTGATATGTTGCCCAAGGCTAGCCTCAGTCTCCAATACTCTGAGGCTTGGTAAAACCTTCTGCCTCAGCCTCCCAAGGAGCTGGCATGACAATGTTTATACAACCCTGCTTGGCCTTGCTTTTCATTTTAAGGTAGATTTGTATATAACACATATATAAATCTTCTTTCCTATATTTGGATACCAGTGGGTAAAGGCTGTTAGAGCTGGGAATCTGAATTTGATCCCTGGAACCCATGTAAGGGTAGAAGGAAAGAAGCCACTCCAAAGTTACACTCTGATTTCTACATATGGGCTGTGGCACACAAGCCCACATACACACATCACGTGTGAGCGCACACATGCACAATAATGGTCATGATACACTTGACATTTCTAAGTGATGCCAAGTTTTGCTGGCACTCAGCCTAACCTTGTGTGCCAATGACACAGACACTTGACACTCAAGCTTCTGAGCATCTCACTAACCTACATCCTTCCGGATTTCTCTTTAATGAGCAATGTGGTCTAGATATTTTTAAAATTTTTCTGTTTCTATTTTAAGTACATAGTTTTATCTTATTAAAAAAAAAAACAAAGTTAACAACATGAAAGCAAAAGGTGATAAAAATCCAGGTTTCATAACTCTAGTTTTACAGACACACCTCCAATTCTAACTCTACCACAGAGCCATTAAATAAAAGAAAAGGCCCTTTTAGCTGTCTAAAAGCTGTCTAAAAGGTTCTACCCAAACGTTAGCATGTGCTCCTACTGTTTTTCATGTTCTCTGATTTGTTAATCTATGCTAGCCTCAGCTGAAGTATGTATAACTTTCTCAACAGTTAGACAGATATAGACATTTTATATATATATATATATATATATATATATATATATATATATATATAAAATGTATACATATGTATATATATGCATATATATATACATATATATATGTCTTTCACAGGCACATAGTAGCTTTTAAAAACATTCACAGGACAAACATGGCGCATGCTGGTAATCCTAGCACGTGGGGAATGGAGACAGGGGGATCAGGAGTTCAAGGTCCTCCCTGACCGTAGACAAAGGTTCTGAGGGCAGCTTGGGCTACAAGCAAGCCAAACCAAACCCCAGGTACGATATGTCTCATAAATGGGCTGTCCTCAAAAGCCCCCTCCCAATCAGCACCTTAGTAAAAAGCCCCTAATTTACCAAGAGCAGCTGCAACAGCAGCACCAGCAAAAGCAGCAAGCATTGGAGCCTCGGCTGCCCATTCCCTGCTGGCTCGGGATGGAACCCTGGGTCTCACTTCCGCTGCACATCTGTCGCATCCGCATCTCGGTCTGCTCGGATCCCACAGGCTGTGAAAGAAAAGGACCAGTTAGACTAGGATGTGGTGCTCCTGCGACTTAGATCCAGGCAGTCATCTGTTCGGCGCACAGAGGACATGGCACGTGACAATACCCAGGCCATTTTCGGAAACTGGTGAGATGTGCTTAGGCTTGGATGGGACATGGTGGGAAGCTCCAGGAGTGAAATGGAGAACAGGCTTTCCCTTCGGTAGTGTACCAAGGGAGGCATATTTAGGTCTCTGTTAAGTTAGGACCACAGAAGCACTTCCCAGCTTCGGGTTCCCTCTGGACTAAAGCATAGGAGAGCGACAAAAAACTGTACAACCACACTGCCCGGGAGTCTGAGCACAGAGATGGGTGGATACGATCTATGCCAAAAAGATCAGCCCCATTACCCCAGCCCCTGAAGAGGAGGAGGTGGTGGTGCGTGGCTCAGGTCTAAAGCCACATCCGTGCACACTACGAACACTTTCACTAGCTTTTCGGCATTTTACAAGAACCCTAACTCCCCAGAAGCAAGACAGCACCACGAACACTGCTTACTGTATAGCAATTGCTTAGTATTTCTGAGGAAGCCAGGCCTAGAGCCAGCCTGAGGTCTGCCCAGTCCCTGGGAAGGCGCTCTTTCCCACCTTCATGGGTTCAAAGCCATCTAACAGATCTGTGACCTTCAACCTGGTTTTTGTTGTTGTTGAAGATTAGCAGACAGGTGGGCATAAAGCAGCACAAGAGATTGCTATATCCAACTTTGCTTTTGGTAACTATCATTCAGTACTTGATGGGGCTAATTGAAAGCTAAAATCACACACACACAACCTTAAATAGGACTTTAGAAATAAGTATTAGAATTGTTTATTCCCATTGACTATGATATAATCCTATGTATAACTGGATTCATACTCATTCATTCATTCATTCATTCATTCATTCATTCATTCATTCATTTATAAATGAGGTCTTGGTATGTTGTTCAAGCTGTCCTTGAACTCATGCTTTCCTCCTTATTTATGAAGAATGGCATCTGGGTTTCTTTCAGTTAGCCTGGCATGTAAGCTTTAGGATAGCAAAAGAGAACCAGCAAAGGCCTTTCCCACCCCTTTTTATGCTCACAATACCCAGATGCTGCTCCATAACACCTCAGACTGGTCTGAGCAGGCCACAAGCCTGTGTAGCCTTCTTGGTCAGAAGGGGGAGGTAGAGATATTTGCCAAATTCTCTATCATATTCTACGGATACCACTGGGAGATGGTTTCAAGACAGAAAGATTCTCAGTTGTCCCCAGGGTAGAAACACCAGGCATTGCGTTCTCGGCTCATCTGTGGCATCGAAACTGAATGGCTCAGCAGCGAACAGCGGCTTGCTGGAAGCTAGAGTCCTCATAACACTCTGGACTGCTTATCACTTACTAAACTTAGAAGCATGCAAAAACATATACACACTTGGCAGACAAAGCAAGCATGTCTTTATGAACCTCATACATACACGCACACATACAAACAAGAGACAAAGAAGGAAGCTCCCAAAGACACCATTCATCCACACATATGTAAACATTCAGATATAAATATATAAATATGTACATACAGACAGACAATACACACATACAAACAAGAGACAAAGAAGGAAGCTCCCAAAGACACCATTCATCCACATATATGTAAACATTCAGATATAAATATATAAATATGTACATACAGACACTTAGGCAGACACATTTTTGGGTGAAGCGGGCGGCCTCAACAACTGTTTGATTCTGTCTTGGGTTTTTGTACTATTTAATACAAAGGTTCTTTATGTATGAAAAAAATTACAACATTTAAAAATAGATACAATCATTAGATAAAAGGGGATCACAATAAGACTATTGATCCTAATATCTAACCAGCTACTTTGTTTATTGTACGTTTAAAGCAGTGGTTTTATCTATATATCATTATGAGTTCAAAGCAGAAGTTTTATCTTTTTCTTATTTCAAATGTACATTATGTGTTCAAAGCAAGTTTTTTTCTTATGTCAAGGTTTTTCTAAGAAACAGGTGTCTGTATTGTCTTGTATAGCATTTATTCTTTGCTTCTATATTCATATGGTCTTTCTTATAGTGGTGTACACCTCAGCCTTACCCTTGGATGAAACCTAGAATGAATGTATCTCCTTGATTATTAATTTGTTTCAATCTTGTTTCCCTCTTGGTGTAAATCAAGTGACATAGAGAGGTCCACAGAGCTCCTTAGCAGTTTTTGCTTTACTGCAGGAGGATTTCGAAAGTTCTTGAATCAAGTCAGAAATTCTTTAAAATTGTCATCAGGGATTACAAAATCATCAGTTCATTTAAACAGCACTGCCATGAAGGCACATCTTCAAAATAATCTGCAGGAAATCTGCCTAACAGAGAGAAGCAATAAGCAGTGAGGGTCTCTGCCGTGCATGATATATGAGACAAGCATGGAAAGGCTGTATAGCAACAAGGAGCAGTCTTGAGACAAAATCTTTGGGGCTTTGCCCACACCAGGGATACACCCATTTGTCAGCCATGCAAAAATGAGTGGGCTGCCTCCTGGAAGCTCGCTTGCTTCTGCCAATCCAGCATGCAATTGCTCCCATCAATGTAAACTCTCTCCTCAGCCCTGCGTGCCTCGGCCAAAGACTGTCAATCAAGCAGCCAGCTAAGTCACCCTTAGACTAACACTAGCAATTGTGAAGACACTGCTTGCTGAAATAAATGCCTAGGAAACAACTTCAACTTGTTGCTCCTTCTCCTGAAGGGCCAGCCCCAACCATAACCGTTTCTAACAGTCGGCACTTCACTCTTTGCAACCACATACCTCAGCAAATTCTAGCAGGATCTGAATCCATTTCTACTCATGTTCCTGGTGGCCAAGCACGGGATGATTGTGACTGGTGCAAAAGGACAATGTTATGACTGGTGGAAACAGAGACCTTTGTGTGCATGAAGGATTTGATAGGACCGGTGCATACCCCCATTCAGCGGCTATTTAACCCTGCAGTTCAGCTCACCAAATGAGCCAGAGGAGACGCTCCTGTGTCAACAAAGGCCTGTGATTTCTTCTTGCCTACGTTTTGGGAGACCAAGGCTGAGCTGGTAACACAAAGAAGCCAGCAGGGGCAGCAGAAACAGTTGTGCTACTTGAGGCAGAGGTACAGGAACACCGCCTTGATAAGCAGCAGATGTGGAGCTGAGCAAGGAGAACTCAAGTGCCGGCCGTGCTGACCAGCTGCCAGACCAGCTGCAGATTGAAGCGGAAGCAGCAAAGGGTGGCAACTGTGGGCAGCAGCTTGAGCAGCTAAGGCAAGCAAACTGTGTAAAACAGTATCCTGTATAGGAATAAGAGGGGAAGAAGAAGAGGAGGTGAGAGGGGGTGAGAGGGATACAAGGAGGAAGGAAGGGAGGGAAGAAGAAGAAAAGAGAGTAGAAGAGAATTTCAGACTAAAGGATAGAGGCTATAAAGAACCAGGGAAGAAAAACTATAGGCTGCAACTGGAAAAGCGCAAGAGCTATGTCAAGTTTTTAGAACCAGGGGTCCTTGACACCCCAGGCTTGGGCGTTGTAACACTAGTTCTACCAACAGCTGAGGAAGCTTGAGGAGCCAGACCTGCACACATGCTGTCACAACAGAGGGCACTGTCCACTGCTGCTTCTGCCTGTCCGCTTCACTGCCTACTGTTAAACATGGAGAGTTACAAAGACGACCCAAGCCCCGTACATGAAGAGCTCCCTCTGTACCCTTGATTTCTAGTTAGGTAAACAAGAGGATTCTCGCCAGCTGTTTGATAATATCTCCTCATTTAAAAAAAAAAAAAAAAAAAAAAGCACCTTAGTTGCATCCCACAAAGAGGAAGGATTCTCACACATAATTTTCAAGAAAGGTGGGTTTTGTTTGTTTGCTTGTTTTTAACGAAGAATCACTTTGGCCAGTGTGAGGACTGAAGTGATTGCCTGGTACAGAGTGGAGGACATCTTGTTGATTTAATCCAGAGCAACCGTGGAGAAGATGGAGTAGGTGGTGACAGAGATTTGGGGGACTAGGCTGAATGCAAAGAGTACCAACAGCAAGCAGAGGAGACTCTCAGGCAAGAGCTTTGCTTGAAGGCCTTTAACAAAGACTGGATTCTTCATGTTATTAAAGAAAGGCTGCCAGCTAGAAGATGAGAAGGCCAGAGCCCAGTAGGTGCCTCTGAACGGGGAGCCACTTGCCACGGGCCAGCTGACAACTGTGTACCTGCACCCTATGGAAGAATGGCAGGGACAGGAGGCAGGGATTCTGCCAGGAAGATGTGCTGAACACCGTCATGCCCCATCATGGGTCTAGTTCATGACTCCAGCAGAGAAAGGGTGCCTGAGAGTTTCCAGGCCATCATACTTAGTCTCCACAACACCAGGTCTACCTAATTAGTGCATGAAATACCAATTCACCAAAAGGCCCTTTTATGTCTAATCTTAGTTTTCTTTTCACAGTTCTTGCACATTTTTCGTAGACTTACTCTTGAGTGATTTTCAGACAATGCTGCTATTGCTGTAAGCCACTTCTGCTGCATCCACTCCCTCTCTGTGTTTTCTTGTTTTGGTAGTTTAAGAAAACGAACAATACTGTACTGATCTAACTAATCTAATGGCTTTAGAAATCCTTCCAGAGACTCTTAGTTTGCTACATGATTATACCTTGTAAAAATGATTACACTTGTCTCTCCTGATTCTTTCAAAGGTATGAACATATGTCTTATTTCACTGGTTAAGAAATAAGGAAGTACCATATATAAAATTTAAATTTTTTATTTTTATGTGTATGTGCCAGCATGTATATTGTGCATCACCTATGTTCCTGGTACCTGAGGAGGTCAGAGAAGCCAGCAGATCCCCTGGAGCTGGAGTTGAAGATGGTTGTGAGCCGCCATATGAGTGCTGAGAATCCAACCCACATCATCTGGAAGGACAGCAAGTGCTCTTAACTACTGAGCAAGCTCTCCAGCCCTTTCATGGTTCTCTTTAATAT